GAGCCAGCGCTGGCGAAGCACGGCCTGGCCCCGAGGGGACCGCCCGCAGGGCTCCCCAGGCATCTCACACACCTACGTGCCCCAAACCCCCTCCCCGGTCCCCAGGGCAGACAGCAATGAGCTAGTGGGAGGGGTGGGGGCGACACGTTCTTACCTCGGGGCTAAGGGTGACAGAACCCATGCTGGGGAACGAAAAGAGAGAGAAATTAAAAGAGAGAGAGAAGGGGACAGTGCAGGAGCCTGGGAGCTGCGGGAGGGCAGAGCAAAATAACCAGCATGCAGCCAGGGCAGGGAGAGACGAGCAGCCAGACAGACACAGCTGGGGGGGCCCCGAGGGACCTGTGGGGTCTCAGGTCTTGGGGTATCCCCGAGGGCAGACGTGGCCCATCACCTGGAGGGCAGCCCGTGCCCACCCCACGCACACAGCTCTGCCCGTGGGTCTCCATCCCTGTCTCCCCTCCCCAGAGGGCACCCCTAATTCCTGGTGCCTGCCCCTCGCACACCCCCAGCCCAGCCCCTCGGCCCCTGCCCTACCTCACGTAGAGCGAGATGGGCACCACAGTGTTGAGGATGATGATGTAGGACCAGAAGGAGAGGAAGCCAGAGAAGAAGGCACTGTGCACCCCCTCGTCCCAGGGCAGGTAGATCTGGAAGCAGACGCCCACCTCGTGCTCCCAGATGGCGTTGCCGATGGCCAGGATCACCCCCATGCACACCAGGAACCCGAAGATCTGGGGACAGGACAGGACATGAGAGCCCCAACCGGGCCAGAGCTGGGGCTCCCTGGGATCTGCCTTCTGCATACCCAGAGCACCAGCGTGTTCATCAGCCGATCGATGCTTGTCCGCTTGAACTTGGTCCGGCCGCTGTTCTGCATCAGTTTCGTGTCGGGCCCTGGGGAGAGGGAAGGGCGTCAGTGGGGTCTCTCCCTCCCGCGCAGTGCAGCGGGCGGCAGCTGTCCCAGCCCACCTGCAAAGATGACGAGGCCGAAGCACCACTCGGTGTTGCGCAGGACGCAGCCCCGCAGCAGCATGTTCTGGTTGCTCAGGGGGTACTTGTTGTCCTTCCAGTACAGCGTCCCGCCAAACTTGTCCAGCTTGTTGTTGGGGGGTTCACAGATCACCTCGCCTGGGCGCAGGGGATGGCTTGGCTGTAACGTGCCTTCTCCACGTGGCCAGCTCCACCCCAGTGCTCCCAGCACCGTCCCCAGCTCCCCAGAGATCTGCTTCAAGCCACAGGACCACAACACCGTGGGGATGGTCCTGGTTTCTCCAGAGTGGACCCACGCCAGGTGATGGAGGAGGAAACCGAGGGGCTGCCCCATTGCAGAGGACCAGTTGCAGGCACTCACCGTCAAACCGAGCCAGCTTGCTGGTGTCACCCAGCTCCGAGGTGACGGGGATGGCCTGCCGCACCTTCATGTTGGTCTCTCTGCGGGCAAGGAGGCACCATGCGTGGGGTTAGCGACAGCCTGGCAGGGAGGGTCTTCGCAGATGCTCCGTGGTTTCAGGTCCCCAGCAGCTCCTGCCCTGCCCGCAGCCTGTTCTCACTCCTACCTCTTGCCTTCCCCTGCCACCCGAGGCGAGCAGGGGTTACTTACCCATCCAGCTCCGCGGTCTCTATGTAGCACAACCCATGGGGTTCACTGCTGGAGAGGAGGAGGAGGTCAGCCTGCCGGGAGAGACACATGAAGGGTTGTGCTGACACTGGGGCTCCCCTGTGCCTTCCCTGGGGAAGCTCCTGGCTCTTGGATGCCAGGGGCCAGCGGGGTCTCCGGAGCAGCGCGTCCTTAGCAGGGTGCTGCCGGCACCCTGGCCTGGACACCATTGCCTGAAGCGCCTACATCAGCCAAATCCCCAGAGCTCAAACGCTACAACCTAAACGCAACTTCCAGGCTGATGTCCCTGATGTCTCCACCCCAGGAGGTGATGGAGGAGCACAAAAGCAAAGTGGGCGCAGCACCACGCTGTGCTGCGGTCCCTGTGCACTGCCCAGTTGGGACCGTGCCCGTCTCAGGGCCACACTCACCGCCACGAACTGGTTGTTCTCCAACTTGATGATGTCTCCGACACGGACGTTCATCCACTGCTCCTGCCGGAGGCTGCAGAGGGACAGCGGAGTGGAGTTAGGCAGGAGCTGACAGCATTCCCCCACGGCGCTCTGCCCCTGCCTGCAGCCCTGTCCCACGTCCGGCAGGGCCCCATGCCCCCTCCCCGACTGCCCCATCCCCACGACACTCACACTCCGCCGATCAGCACCTGAGACTGACGGTTGTTCACCTGGTTGTCGCTTTTATGGCGGAACTGGGTATGGAGGGGAAGAGACAGCAGTGTCAGGCCCTCCGGGGACGGGGTCCTGCGTCCCTCCCCCTGAAAATGCCATGGCCCCGGGCACCACACACCCTCACCAGGGTCACAGCCCCCTGCCCAGCCAGCAGCAGGCAGCCAGCCCTGGTAGAGGGGCACGTGGGGGAACACTCACATAGTCGTCGGTGGCATCTTTGACAGCTGTGATGGTTAAGACAAGAACCAAAGGCACAATGGTGGTGAACCAGGAGAGCGAAGAGATCTGCGGGATCAGCTGGGGACAGGGAGCAGGAGTTAGAGGGGACCACGCCAGCCCCAGGCCCATGCTACCCCTGCTCAAGGGTGCCAAACCTGCCACTTCCCAAAGGCAGGATGTGCCCTGGGCCCTCCTGGCTGCCCAGCCAGGGAAGGACAGCGTGGGGGTGCCCTGCCTGCCTCCCCAGGCCCCCCAGCACTCACCTGCAGGATGAGGAGGAAGAGGAAATAGGTGTTGGCCACTTCCTGGAACTGCTCGAAGAGGTTGACAGGCAGGAAGGTGACAATGTTGTACTTTGAGGTCTTGATGCAGTTGCTCTGGGGACAGATGGGGCAAGAAGGGGGTTCACGAGTCGCCGAGGCCCTGTGACCCCCCAGCATTGCTCTGGGGGCAGGGCTGCGGCTCACTGTGCCCCCAG